CGAACGGCCCCTTCCCTTCTAGAAAACCACACATTGCACAAGAAGGCCCTGTTCTGTCTGCCAGGCCGCCACAGCAAGGGCAATTACGAAACGTCCCTCCCATGGAAGTAAGAAGGCGCTCGCCTGCGAGGCAGGAACACAGCACGTTCTGGTCCTACCCCAGAGTTCCTTCAAGTTCTGATAGAGGCAGTGCAGAGCTGGGGCTTTTTTCACAGCGGGGACATCTTGCCCAAGATAAAAAAGTCCCTTGCCCTGGCAGCCAGAAGAAAACCGCAATCACGGAGTAAGATGGCAATCTGACCCCGTGACACCGGCGTGCTCTGGCCGAGAACAGTGCACAGGGGCACAGCGGAAGGCGGGTGAGGCCGGCTGGTCAATGTTTCAGACTCTGCCGGCCCACGGTCTCTGTCCCAACTACTCAGCTCCGCCGCTGCGGCCAGGAGGCAGCCGTTAGCGAAACATGGGTGGGCGCGGCCAGGTGCCAACACGTCGCTTACAGGCACAGGCAGTGGCTGGGGCGGGCCGGTGGGCTGGTTTGCCGCCTCCTGGTCTAGAGCGGGCACGAGGGACGTGGGCTGCGTGCCAGGGGACACCGTCGTTTTTCTTAATGTTGGGTCAGCAGGTCACTTGCATTCCAGAACCGTCCTGTTACAGAAGCCCTCCCGTGAAATGTGAACGTGAACGAGGGTGAAGGTGCAGCACTGGAGTGCAGAGAACACAGCCGGTGGGGCAGCTGCTGCAGGTGCCGTCGTGGCTGCGTGCACCTGCCCAGGACACGCTAATGGGGCGTTCCTGCAGCCATGGTGATGAGCCTGGAGCTGGAAAGGACCCCTCGCCTGCATGATCTCTCAGGACACTGGGTAGAGTCAGTAAATGCAGGTCACCCTTCCTCTCTTCTACGTGTATGTTCCAGGTCCGAATGCAGGTCTGAAGTGTGTCTGCAGCCCCTCCTTCCTGGCCTCGCAGCACCAGCCTCAGGGCCCTTGGAGGAGGTCACCATGCACACCCGCCTTGCCGGGCGCCACGCTGACCTCCCCGTGTCTGCAGATGAGATCTGATGTGGCAGGAAACCTCATCCTCTGTTCGTTGTGACAGAGCTGTGGCTCAGGCGACCTAAGGAACTTGCCCAAGGACCCCCAAGGGGGCCCACCCTCTCTGTCCCTCCCCCCCCCCCCCCAGCACTCACTCTGGCAGGCCCTGTGGTGAGAGGAAAACCTCCTGCCCACGGCTCTCTGAATGGGCTTGGAAGACCGCGTCCAGGTCATCAAAGACGCCAGCCCGGCCCACAGCCTGACTTCATGGGAGGCCCCTAGCCAGGCACTCCCACACTCCCGACCCTCAGAAACTGAGATGGTAAATGTCCATTGTCCTGAGATGCTAGGCCTGGGGCAGTTGGTGATGCAGCCACTGACGGCCCTCCTGCACAGCTGGAAAGATGAGACGCTGTGGCCTCGGTGCAGGACGGGGGTGGACAGAGCAAAGAGGAGGCCCAGCGCGCTGTGTGGTCAGAACACCTTTGCCAGCTTGGCCCAAGTGGAGTCCCTCTCCCGGCACCAGCACTGCTGGCAGTGACTGCTAGAAACCCGCTTCCCACCTTTTAAGGCCCGGGAGTGTCGGACCCGCCCAACTGCAGAAGGCAGGGTTCTGTTCACTGAAGACCAGCAGCTCCAGGCCGTGTCCCTGCCAAGCAGGTGCTGTCTGAGGCCAGGTGGCCCAGGGAGCTGTGCCTCTTGAGCCTCAGGGGCCTGCCTGTGTGCCCCTACCACCAGCGATCGGCAGAGGGGCATGCTTGTGGGCGGCCGGGAGGGGAGCAGACCCCTTCCCTGGGTCCACGTCGTCTCTGCCAGAGCAGCGCCATCACCAGAACTGCACGGGGCCCAGGCCATCTGGCAACAAGGAGGGCCTCCCATCTCCCTGTGGTCCCAGAAGGAGGAGTCCCTGGAGGTACACAGGAGATGCTGCTTGGGCAGTTTGGGGAGCTGCGCAGGTTTGGGCACCGACAGTGGCAGAAATGAAGCTCATGACTCACAGCTGGGTTAGAACTGGATTCAGACAGCAAGGTCTTTACAGATGCTAATTACTTTTTCTTTAATCCTCACCTGAGGATGTGTTTATTGATTTGAGAGGCAGAGGGAGAGGCATCAATGTGATATCAACCAATATCGATTGGTTGCTTCCTATGGGCACCCCAACCGGGGACTGAACCCACAATCTAGGTATATGCCCTGACCAGGAATCAAACCTGCAACCTTTTGGTGCATGGGATGATGCTCCAACCAACTGAGACACCCAGCCCGGGCTAAATTCCTTTTAAAGAAAAGAGAGAGAAAGAGAGAGAGAGAGCGCAGAGACTACCAGGCCCACAGGGACAACCCCAAGGCACTGTCCACGTGGGAACACTGTGAACGGAAGCTCCAGAGCAACCGCTGGGAGAGGGGAGTCTCCATGCGAATAACGCAGTTTGAGCAGAGAGCACAAGGGCAGGGTGCGGTGGCCGCCTTTCCCTCAGCCACGGAGGCCCACAGGTAGCCGTGATGTTCCCTTCTCCTCCAGTGTCCCTCTGGGTCTCCTCCGCTCAGGCCCGCAGTCAGGCATCGCACGGCCAGCCACGGCCACAGGTTCTAGGTGGCCCGGGACCCATGCCGGGCCAGTCTCCAAACTTCCACCTAGCTCACTGGGAGAAAGCATTCTTCCCACGGGACTTGACCCTGTTAGGGTGTGGCCTGGAGTGGAGGGTGTGGAGCACCTGGATTCGGCAATTGGAGGGGTCGGGATGGGTAGAGGCCTGGATGGATAACTAAGATAGACCCTGGATCAAGCCATGCTTGAAGCCGTACCCTTGTCTTCTCCATGATGTGAGCCGAAGTTTCTCTTTTGGTTTAAGCAAATTTGGTTGCACTTCTGTCAGGGTTCATTAAAGGAAGCAAAACCCCTATGAGAATTATGAAATACAAAATATATTATAGTAATCTCACTTTACACAACTCTGGGAGGAGCTAGGGGCTTAGACATCCAAAAAGAGAAGTTGGAGAAGGGGGGTCACTGAGCAGCACCCCCACCCCCAGCAGGGCCACTGTTGGAAAGAACAGCACAGGCTGTAGGGGAGACTCCACCACCCATCCCATTCGTCTGCCCCCTCTGGCCACCTTCGGGGAGTGACAGCCACTGTTCCTCTTCCACCTTCCGACATGCAGGCCAGTTTCTCTTTGGGGCAAGTGCCCCTGGAGCCACACAGGGAGGGAGTTCTGGGGAAGGCACAGTGACACAGCTCAAGCCACCGCACTTGTCCTTACTGTGCAGAGTCCTCGCTTTACAAATGTCACCTGACTCACAAGGACCTTCAACTAATTCACACCCAAGCACCCTCTTGATCAGCCACCTAGAGGAGGCAAGAGCGGCAGGAGCGCCCGAGGGAGCCTGTCTGTGTCCTCCCACTCCCCGCTCTGCGGAGGCCTGGCTGGGGCCTGGCCCCGGCCTCAGTGGAGAAGAGGAGCAGGTGTTTCTTGTCAGATGCCTGCGCCACCTGGACTCAGGGGGCATGGCCCCTGCCCTCTAGTGACTCCTCTGTGCTGGGAAATAACACGTCCTCAGTCCCAATCCTTGACCCGCTCTGGGCAGACCCCCGGGGTCTTTACACCCCTCTCCCGCACCCCCATCACCTATGCAAAACCCTCCGGGCACAGTCCTCTCGCAGGAAGGCCCACCCCCCTGGGCACTGTCAAGGGATGGGGCAGATGCCACTTCGAGTGACTGACAAGGATGGAGGGCTGGGGCCCAGGCCACAGCACTCCCTGGCACGGCCTGCCCCAAATGTGACTGGGACACACCAGCCCGTGTAGGAGGAGAAGGGGCCATCTCAGCCAGGTGCAGTCAAGCCTGGAACCAACAACCCTAAAGCCCTCTTCCCATCAGCCAATGGTCGAATGGCATCGTCACAATGTACGACACCCGGCCTCCCCCAGAACCAGCTTCTGCACACACTTGCTTTCTCCCATCTGCGGTAAAGCATGCTTATCCATACCTTGGACAGTCTCTCTGGATGCTTCTGGACCACCTCTTGGCCCAGCCTGCTCTCCATGGTCCCTGGTATCTCCTGCTTTGTCCCTGTCACTTGATGTGGGTGAACAGTTGAGTCAGCCAAGGGCCCTCTGCAAGCTCATACAGCATAGGCCTGCTGGAAGCTTCCCGCCACTCTATTCAAGGCTGAGCCCGGTGTCGGTTTCTTTTAGCTCAAGCCTCATTAGTCAAGATAGTTCTCTTCCTGCTTGCCAGCTACAAACTTGGAACATACCGAGGCGCCCTATTCTCCCAAAACGTACACCGACCCAACCACTCATTGCCAAACTGAGCACGGCACCCTTCCTCATTCTCCAGCCTCTGGGCCATCATATTCCTGGACCGTTTCCTCCCTGTGATGGACCCACAGTGCCCCTGCAGGCCAGCACCAAAACCTTGGCTTTTGTGACTGCAGGCTTCCAACACGAGCCACCCTCTTCTCCTGATACCTGGGCCAGGTGCCCAAAAGGCCGCAACTAAAGCCGGTGTATGAGAGCTCTGACTGGCAGACCAAAGGCAGGACATGGGCCTAGTGGAAAAGAAGGCTGGTCTTGAGACCCCTAACTCATCTGAGATCCCAAATGCCTTAATGTAATTTGCATCCCAGGTAACCTTTAAATTCTAAAAGGTTAAATACTCGTGAGATCCCTGCTAAAGCTGGCCCCATGTCTTTCGGAGGTCAGGGCTCGGTTCTGAGGGATCGGAGATCGGGGCTGGAGCTCAGAACTTCGTGCTGGGACTGGGGACTGAAAGAGGGTTACCATTTCAGGTCGCTGAAGAATGACGTCAGAGCCTGGCGTCCGTACGCGAAGCTGCGCTGAACCGGGTGCTTGGCCCTGGGGGCGCTAGGGGGCGGAGCCATCGCGGGGAGCGGAAGCCCAGATGGCCCCACTACGCTCGCGCCGCACCGCCCCCTCGCCAGAAGGCCAATGGGCTCGCAGGGAACGCCCCTAACGACGTGGGCTACGCCCCCTGGAGACGCGCCGCGGCAGAGCCGAAATCCTCTAGGGGTAGTTGGTGGGTCCAGGGCCCGGCCGGTGGCTGGGGTCCCTGCGGCCCATCGCCATGAAGCTGACGCGCAAGATGGTCCTGTCCCGGGCCAAGGCCTCCGAGCTGCACAACGTGAGGAAGCTCAATTGCTGGTGAGGCCCAAAAGCCGGGGGCCTCTACCCTGCCTGCATCCCTGCCCCGGAGCGGGGATCCCCGCCCGCTACCCCCTCCCTGGGTTGGGGCCTCCTTCTCGGCACCTCCGCCCTGGCATGGGGCACCGCGCCCTGGGTTGGGGCCTCTCCGCTCAGCACCTCCGCCTTTACTTGGGGCCCCCAACCCTACAACTGTGCTCTGGGGCGGGGCCGAAAACGGCCTCTATAGAGGCTTGTCGGGGTGGAGGAGGGCACCTCCAGCCCAGCCTTTCTGTCCCCGGTCCCAGGCTGGCCTTCCGGGTCCCAAGAGCCCACAGCCTCTGGGAGGTGCTGCCACAAGCTCAGGTGGCCATTGGCAAAGGTCGTTCTAGAATTTTCATACACACCCCACCCTTCCTGGTGGCGCCGATTTGGACACAGTCTCCAAACTTGCTCTCCTTGCTTGAAAGTTAGAACCACCTTGAAGATTTGTTTTGGGAAGACAGCTTTAGTGGGACAGGTGGTTCCCTCTGTGGACAGGTCTGGTTTCTGGCATTGCCACTCATTGGGAGGCAAGTCTGCCAACAAGGTGGGAGATCAAGGCTTTGCTGATCAAGGGGATTAAAACCATTTCTAAGGGAAAGGAAAGAGAACTGAGACACTTCAGCAACGACTTAATCATTTTTGTAACTGAATCCTGTGAGACAGGAGCTGTCCCCAGGTGACAGTGTCTGGGAGGTGACGGCAGGATAGAGGTGCTATAGGGTCAGTGCAGGTTCCAACGCAGGGTGGTCTAATGGGGGCAAGGCAGGACCAGAAGCGCTTCATGAACTCCCGAAAGAGGTACAGGTGTTCACCGGGGAGTCAGAGCGAGGCTTCACACGTGACTGTGACCCGGACAGTTCAGGCGGGGCATAGGGAGCTCAGCCAAGAGCAGACCTTCTGGCTGCTGTGGTCAGCCACTTGACTGCAGTGGAGGAGCCCTGCTTGTTCATTAAAAAGCTTTTCTCCTTGCTCTGGCCCATCTGGCACTTTGGCCACAATGTCCCCCGTCATTCATTTTCAATAATGCATTTCTTTGTTTGACATGGGATGGTCATACCTTCTCTAAGCAGGGAGAAACAACAAGCTGTTTCAGGCTTTTCAAAGTGTTTCATAAGTTGCATGTTTAGCCTTTGAACTTGGCCTCATATAAAGACTCCTTTGTTTGTTTATGTCGGTGAGGGAAATGATCCGTCTGCCATGGTCTTGACAATCAGTCGATCTGTGTCCTCCCCATGGAGCGGCCTCTACTGCTCCTCAGTCTAAGCAGTGGCTCTGGGCACCCAGTATATCTGCTTTTGTTGGCAGTCAACCTGAAACGACCTTTGACTATCTCCGTCAGTTACCTGGGCAAGCTTTCACTTTACCATTGAAAGTTTATCTTAAAGTTCGTAGGCATTTGTTGTTCATTTTTGGAGTTGATTTTTAATTTTTTGTATTAACCCTTAACAAAATTAATGCCTGTATATCTTTTCTTCCCCCAGGGGCAGCCGCCTCACAGATGTAAGTATCGTGCGGATCCCTGATCTCTAAAGTCGCAGCCTCTTCCTCAAGGGAATTGTTACATTGATAGAACAGCACGCATTCAGCTCAGCTCTGGTCTGGTGCTCTGACATTTAGCAGTTGTTCTAAGGCAGAACCACTAATTAAAAGAAACATTCTCAAGTTTATTTTGAAGTTCTCTTGCACATGCGCTTTAAACGTGTTGCTGAGAGGCTCCTGTGCCCACACAGGCCTCACAGAGGAGGGCAGCCCTGCTCTGACCTGGGAAGGAACCCCAGGGCTGGGCCTACTTCACGGAGAAGGATACTCAGCCGGGGACCCCTGTGGGTTCTTGGGCTTAGTGTCATCGAGGAAGAGGGTCCCCACTTCATCTCCTCCTCTTGGTCACACCCTGCTTCGTGCCCCGTCCCAGTGGCAGGAAGAGACTGGACCTGGGGGGTGAGGGAGCAGTGCACAGAGCTGAGTGAGCTGTGCGTCTGTGAGCAGGTGTCTTCTTTCTCTCGCTCCCAGAATGAATGCCCACAGCTCGTGCACAGTTTGAGTGCCAGTGATTCAGTTCTTCCCTTATCTTATCTTTTGTAACTTGAACTGTAGCTTTCCTTAAAAACAAAGTTGGAATGCTGCTGAGCTACTGGGCTGTCCAGAGAAGCTGAGTCCGCCTCAGGCAGCAGCTGAAGAGCTGCACACTTAGCAGAAGAAACAAACAAAAACACGCCCCTTGTAGCAGGACAAAACTCCATTGCACCGTGAAGCGTCCTGACCAGACCACGACTTTGCTGTGGTTGGGGACCATCTTGCTTCATGCCTGGTGAATGGCAGACACCTAGACACTTGGGGTCTGCACCACTGGACACCCCCCCCCAAGCCCATGGCTGCGCTTGCCCTCTGAACCAACAGTGTAAACACAATCTGAGGTCCCATTTTCAACCCTGTCAATCCTGCCAGGCTGTGTTGGCAAGAAGGGGCTGAAGTCCTTTTCCTATAAGGCAGGGACTGCAGGTAGAAAGGTTCTCTGTCCACCATAGGGGCACCGAGGTCCCCTTACCTGATGTCCTTGGAGGGCTTCCAAAATGACGACTGCTCCGTCTTGGTGGCCAGCGGTGTTGGACGCACGGTGCCATCTGAGAGTGTTAGAGCGTCCACTTCCCCTCCAGGCTGAGGGACTCGCGGGGCTGCAGGGCAGAGTGGAACTCGGAGCCCATGTGCGCTTGTGCAGTTAGTACGACGGGAGGGAGGGGAGGGAGGCCACTTCACTTAGGCCTGGGACGGGGAGGTGGCAGGGGCTCCGTGCTGTTTCTCCGTTGAGCTGGTGGAGAGACGTGATGTTGCCACTTCAGCGCCCAGCAGTGCCTGCAGCCACGTTCTTTTCCTCCCCAGATCTCCATATGCCGGGAAATGCCCAGCCTGGAAGTGATCACCCTCAGGTACCTGAAGGCCTGCTGTCCCTCCAAGCCACGGGGGCTTCAAAGAGGAGGGGGACCCAGAGAATCTGAAAACCCCCCGGGGAAGTCTGGGAGGGCTGCTGGCTCCTCCGCTCCACCCAGCTCCACCCTCCTTTCTGGAGCTTCACCTGGGCCTGCCCCGCTGCTGCGTCCCCGCCTGCCCTCGCTGCGGATGCATGAGTGCAGCCTCCCAGTGACTGACCTTCCCGATCACAGGGCGCACCACCCCGTTTGTCCCTCACTAGCCCTCCACTCATGCCTCACACCTTCCTCGGTCGCCCGGTGGGTGCCCGTGCTGACCGCGTTGTGCTCACGGAACCCCTAGCCCCAGCCTGAGCCTCTGCAGCCGGTGCCTTCTCGTGGAATAAACGAACAGTTTGCAGCTGTGCCCAGGCCGAGTTCCAGCTCTCCCACCCGGGGCAAAGTTCAGGCCTCTGTGCCTCGGTTTCCCTCTCTGTAACACGAGGCAAGGCCGGACAGGTGCTCACGGTGCTGTCTTTGCAGCGTCAACAGCGTGTCGACCCTGGAGCCCGTGAGCCAGTGCCGGCAGCTGAGCGAGCTCTACCTGCGGCGGAACCGCATCGCCAGCCTGGCCGAGCTCTCCTACCTGAAGGGCCTGCCACGCCTGCGCGTGCTGTGGCTGGCCGAGAACCCGTGCTGTGGCGCCGACCCCCACCTCTACCGCATGACCGTCCTACGCACCCTGCCGAACCTGCAGAAGCTGGACAACCAGGGTAGGTGTCCGCACTGAGCGGCCCCAGCCAGAGGGGCCCGCCCTCCTCTGCCCCTTCCGCAAACCCCTGGCCTCGAGGACGTCGCAGGTGCCGCCTCCTCTGGAGCCTCGGGAAGGAACCCCCTGGGATTCTGTGGTGGGGGTGCAGCCCCACACACAGAGCACGGGACCTTGGGTGAACCTCACGTGACTTGTTTGTCTGCCCTACTGCCCACCCACACTGGGCTGTTTTTGTCGTTGTTTCCTCTCTTGAGACCTCTGTGCCCAGACACTCACCCACGTGCCCTGGAACGTGGGAGAAGGTCCGGGTGGGCCAAACAGCCACTGCTGGTCCACAGGGACCCAGGGCGGTGGTGCCCCTGTGCTCCCAGCTTTGGGTTACCTGCCGTTGGCCTCTGCCTGTCGGGGTGCGGAGTGCCACCTGCACCTCCTTCGGGAGCCGCATGCGAGCCTCTGCCCTGTGCCGAGGGCACCGGGGCGTTGTGCCCCCGCCTCCGGGGTTCCGCCCGTCCCCGGGGGCTGGGCCCCGCTCCGGTGTGCCCAGCGTCCTCTGCATGCCGGCTCTTAGTGCTCGCCTTTATGTGCACAGTTATCTTTCTCCCGGATGAACAATTTTAATATAAATAAACTCCAGGGCAATTAAGTCAAATGGAATGAAGGCGGTGTATTCTGTGCGTTTTTAAAATTTAATTTGAGGGTTTTTTTGTGCGTTTTTTTAAACGAGAATTTGCTTTCAGGAAATGCTGAAACTCAGATTCACAAGCAGTCCTTAGCCGGCGGCTGTGTGTCCCGCTCACGGCAGGGCTGCGGAATGACTGTCGGGGTGCACAGACAGACACCTTTTTTCTGAGGCAGACTGTGCTGAGTGCCCAGCCTGTGGGGCCTGCATGCGGCAGGGCCCCCCTGAGTTTTTGCCCCCTCTCCTTCCCCCCCGAAGCTGTGACTGAGGAGGAGCTGTCCCGGGCAGTGATGGAGGGAGAGGAGGTCACGGCCCCCAGCAGAGAGAGCACAGGGAACGGCGGGCCCGAGCTGTCCTATTCCCTGAGTGCCGTGGACACCGCTGCCGAGACCCCAGGGGACCGGCTGAGCTTCAGCGACGAGGAGGAGGCAAGGTGCGCCAGGGGCCTCTCCTGGGCCCGCCATCCCGAGGAGAGCAGCCACCCAGGACTCCCCTCAGCGGGGAGGGAGGGCAGCAAGCTGCCCAGGGGGGTTCTTGCTCCTCTGGCCCTTGATGGCCAAGAGAACGCCCAAGGCACGGCGTGAGTGCGAGTGCGGAACCAGCCCGGCACGGGGTGCCTGGTGGTGGACTCGGGGAGGTGGCACTTGGGGAGGTGGATTGGGGCCCCCGGGGGCCAGCTGGAGGAGGGAGTCCCGACTGGAGGAGCCCCTGTGAGAGGGGAGGTGACCTCTGAGGCTGTTCTCTGATTGTCACGGCCAGTTATGAGCAGAAACTGACCGTGGGTAACGCTGCAGAGACAGTTGTTTGCAGAGGGCCGCCAGGTTCAGTGCACAGAGCAGATGAACCCGCTTTGTCTCCCTGGAGTCCTGCACCCATCATCTTAGTGTAGTGCCGCGACCCTTGACCCTGGGCAGGATCCCCCAGGGAATCAGAGAGAAACAGTCACTGTCGCACCTGCCCACCCTCCCGTCCAGGGCCTCTGTCCCTCCAGAAGTAACGTCACGCTGTGGGGGCTCCCCTTCAAACGGCGGGCATCAGGCATCCTTGTCTCCTCCTCGCTGTGCCCCGAGGGAGCCGGCCCCGCTCAGGCCTCATGTGGTACCATCCCCCCGCCACACAGGGTCGAGGGACAGCTCAGCCTGAAGCCCCCGGCCCGGGACCGGTTTCCTTCCTTCCCACAGAGGGAGGCCGCGAGCAGTCTCAGGAACAGGGTAAGTGTGATGGGGGGGCCCTGGGCGTGGCAGCTGTGGGGTGGGGCCGGGGACACCACAGAGACTAGCGCAGCCCGGCCCCAGGGGCAGAGGCGCTGCCTGGGTGTGCGGGACCGCGGGCCCGAGGCTCCGGGAAAGCCCGTGCCTGTGGGGCCGGAGGAAGGGTCGTGGCAGCACGTTAGCTGCAGAGATTTGCTGCTGTGTACTTGGCCTGGGGACACCTCGTCCTGGCCGAGGTGGCTTTGTGTCACCCCACAGTGGGCCAGGAAGCAGGGCCCGGGGCCCTGGAGCCTTCCCTGTCAGGAGGACGGGTTGTTGACCTAGCAAGAAGGGGGCTGCTGGGGGATGCCGCCAGGGTCCTGGTCACTTGCAGGTGTCCGCACGCCGCCTGTGTCATCCTTGTGCATTTGTTCGGTGGCCACTTACAATAGGAAGCTCGGGAGGAGCAGGTGGCAGGGGTGGGGGGCTGGGGCCCGTCCGTGGAAGGTGCCAGCTGCCCTCCAGGCAAGGCATCACCCCAGAGCTTCAGACAAGGGACTGCAGACCGGGGGCCGGGGCTCCGGCACGTCGTGGCGGGGCAGACTGGCCTCGCCAGGCGCGGCGCTCAGCCAGCGACTCTGTGCTCCCAGGACAACGTCCTGACCGCCATCCTGCTGCTGCTGCGGGACCTGGACACTGAGGGGCTGGAGGCCGTGCACCAGGCCGTGGTCAGCCGGCTGCAGGCCCTGCACAGGCAGGAGCTGCGGGAGGACATGGAGTGACCCGGCAGGGACCCTGCGCTGAAGTCCCAGCGCCTCCCGAGCACCTGGACGATGGGGCTGACCACCAGGGCCACGGCCGGACCCAGGCTGAGCGCCAGCACACAGGACTGGGTCCTCAGGAAGACTCAGCCCGCCCAGGAAGGCCGAGCTGTCTCTCCGGATGGCACCCGGAGAGGGCAGCAGGGGACTTGGGGGCTGGCGGGGCAGACCCCGCTCCCGCGCCCTCCTGTGCGGGCAGCCACACCTGACCCAGGACCCTTATCCCCAATAAACATTTTCCCAAGTCTGACCCGGAAGCAGGTTTCCTAAGTGACAGACGTGGCCTTCTTTGCAAAGCTGAGAGCCATTGCTCATGCACTTGCCCCAGCCAGCCTCTGGCTCAGCCTCGGGGCAGACCCCTGGGCCACGGGAGCCTTCCCGCACCATGGCCTCCTTCCAGACGGGCTCCCTCCTCAGACTCGCACCGGCAGACACGGGCAGCACAGCTGCCGCCGCCGCCGCCGCCCTCGACCTGGGGGCGTTGCGTTTGGCTGGTGGGCAGGGCACAAGGCACTTGACTTTGTATGAGCCCCGAGGCAGTGCCGAGGGTTTGTGCAGACCCCGAGTCAGGGGCCGTGCAGGGACCGGCCTGCCACGTCTGCCTGCGGGCCCGGGTGCGGCTGCAGGCGAAGCAGCCAGCTGGGGAAGGGGGGCCTCCTGGAAACTGCATCTGGAATGTTTGCTTCCTGTGGGGAGAGTCGCAGGCCTTGCCATTTCGCACGTGACCCAGCGGGGGTGCTGCAGCCCGGGAGGCCTCCGTGTGCCCCTGAGAGCCGAGGAAGGGGAGCAGCACGGCCCCACCCCCCTCCTCCAAGCCATTAGAGACAAGTCCCTTCTTACCACTACAGAAATGACTGGGGCTGGGGAGGGGGACGGGCTGGGGAGGGGGACAGGATGTTATTCCTGCTGCCCCTTCCCCCCCCTTTTGGGTGGGAATGCCCACCTCCCTGTGAAAGCCGAGGGCACCGGTCTGTGTGAGAGCCACACCAGTCAAGGAGGTGACGGCCACAACATGGACAAGTCAAGACACCAGTGATGGCGTGCCGGCGTCTGGCAGCCCACAGCCCTCCTAGATGAAGCTGCACCGTGGGGCCGGCTCTTCAGGCCGCTGAAGGCCTCCCAGCACTAGCCTGGGGGAGCCCCGGGCAGAGGTGGGGGCTTTGTCTGTGGGGCCCTTGTGGTTTGTCAGGACACGGGGGCGAGCTCCGAGCAGCAGGAGACCAGCGGCCACCACCGGGGGCCATCCAGAGTGTAGCTGTGGGTGGGTCTTCCTGTCTTTATGGGGTTTTGCTCCCCATAAAGCTGTGCCTTGGTCAGAACAGGTGGGGGCGGTTACGTCGAATTACGGACGCCCGCCCTCTCCCCACTCACCAGGCGGGGCTCACAGCAGCTTCCCTCCCGCCTGCCCCAGGACACGGTGCACCTCGGGAACCTGTGCATTAGACCCGTCAGGTGAGCTGCCGGCCCGCCTCGGCCCTTCACCGCCCCCCATCCGGCCCCCTGCCAAATGAGAGGCTCCGCCAGCCCACCAGGCCCCCCCTTCCGGCCACCTGCTCACTGGGAGGCCTCTGGAGCCCCCGTGCTGGACCGAGGACAGCGTGTTCAGCCATGGCCTCTGGCACTTGGTAGTCCCTGCTCTGCCCTTCCCGAGCAGCCCTGAAAGCAGGGATCTTGGACGCCACAGATCCTGGCGTCACACCCTGTGTGTGTCCTGCCGGCCCCAGTTTGCGCAGGACAGGACAGGCCCAGGAGGACGCGTGGCTCAGCCTGCCCGGGACAAGCCCACACTCATGGCAGGCAGAGTGGTCCCAGCGCCCAGCTCCAGCACCCAGGAGCGCTCAGGCTTTTGGGCCAGCGCGGCGAGGCTGGTGCAGGCCCCCAGCACAGGGCTCGTCCAGCTACATCTGCTGTTCCCCGGAGTGACCAAGGCTTCCTGCCAACGTCCTGTCAGGGCATGAAGGCAGCCTGAGGGGTGAAGGCCCAACCTGGTCCCTGGAGCCACCAAGCCAGGCCCCAGCAGGAGACCCTCTGCCCAGAACCCCCGATGTGGCCTGTGGGCCTCCCCACAAAACCTCACGGGCCCCAGAGCCTCGTCCTGAGCCTCTGCAGCGGCTGAGGGCGGGGGTGCAGGCTGGAGCAGCCCTGGACTCGGTGCCCAGGCAGCCACGGTGGGAAGAGGCCTGGATGGGGCCGCGAGCTCAGGGGTGCCGGGTCCCGCCAAGGCACAGCTCGGCGAAGTCCAGTCCAGCTCACCCTCCTGGGCGTCGGCGCTGCGCTGCGGGTGGAGGCTCCTCAGGGCGGCCCTGGGACTCCTGGTGGGTCAGCCCCCGGCCCTGGCGATGAGGTTCTGGTGCCTCCCCCCGCCCCTGATTGTACACCCCCACTAGCATCTCCCCCAACCTCTCTCACATTAGCCACCTGCCCAGGACCCTTGACTCTGCTTCAGAGACCCCAGCCCAGGGTACGTCTGGGGGCCAGTAAAGGTCAGGCTCAGAGCCTGGGGTGCAGGCTGAGAAATCCTTGGCCTGGGGGAGGCCAGGCCTGCCACCTTTAGGACAGGGCTGAAGGTGCTGAGGTGACCTGTCAGGACAGGGCAGGGGGTGCGCAGGTCACCCCTCAGGACAAGGCTGAGGGGTCTCAGGTCACCCCTAGGACAGTTGGGAAGGGCTCGGGACAGGGCCGGGGAGCCTCAGGCCGCCCCGTCAGCAGAGAGGCGCCTGCTGGTCATAGGAGGAGAGTGTGGCTGCAGAGGACACATATCTCGGAGACCCAGCCCAGCCCCGGAGCCTGAGGACAGCCCCAGAGGGGACAAGGGACAACCCCTCTGCCGACCGCCAGCAGGCCCAGCCTCCCTACGGAGTCCCACGGGCCCTACTTTCCACAGATCAATGGCACTCCTCTGTTGGGGTGACTTTATTCCTACAAAAGATGACAAGCTCTGCCCAACCACAGCGCCCAGTGCTCAGGAGCAGGGGCACAGCAAGGCCCCCCGGGACACACTGCCTTTGGCACAAACACCCGGGCGCTGGACCCCAAGAGCTAGTGAGGGTGAAGGGCCGGCATGGGGAGAGACTCAGGGCCATGCGGGGGGGCCAAGGAGGGGCAGTGTGTCCAGGCTAGGACGCTCCGTGTCCCCTGGGGCCGGAAGGTCGGTGCCCTGGGTGCTCTGTCCTGGAGGCGAGGCCATGAGCCCCCCAGGGCAGGGCTGAGAGAGGGCCGCAGCCTGCCCACCGCCTGCCTGCCTGCCTGCAGGCTCCAGGCGGCGGCCTGGCAGAGAAGGGCGTGGCAGCCAGAGGGGTGGCGGGCAGCCTCAGAAGCCCTTGTCCACGCTCAGGGTGCGGCGGGTGACGTGCTCCAGCTCCCCAGACACATAGTCAGCCATGCTGACGTGGTAGTGCGCCAGCATCTTCAGCATCAGCCGCAGGTGCAGCCACCACTGCTCCCGGGGCATGCGGTGCCTGGGGCGGGGCGGGGCAGGGCAGGGGTCAGGGCACCTCCTCAGCTGCAGCCTCCACCTGGGACCACACCCCTCCTCCGAACCCTGGCCCTGCCCGCCCCACAGGAGTGGCCCTCAGTGGTGGTGTCGGGTCCCTGGCCCTCTGGGGTGAGCACCCAGGACGGACTCAGGACCCCACCAAGGACAGAGCGGGGAGTGTGTGCACTCAGACCTGACAGCCTAGCTGGCCCGGCTCACCCCTTCCCATCCCTGCGCACTCGCTGGCCACCCTCACGTGGGAGGGACTCACTCAAAATCAGTGTCCTTCTTGAGCTCGGTGACAGGGCTAAAGGCCACTGACTTCTTCTGAAGGCCGATCACACAGGCCGAGTCAGGGGCATTGGCGAACACCCGCCCTGTGGACAGAGGCACGCACTCAGCCCCGCCCCCAGGGCCGGGGCAGAGGGCGAGGGCAGGAGGAGCCCCCTCCCCCACGTACATACCGTTGCGGTAGACGGCCCGAAGTTTCTCGGACACCCAGAGCAAGGCCTTCACCCCCAGCTTGGTCCCGTAGTTCCGGTCAAACGGGGTTGGAGCCCCGCCCTGGAACACAGCGGGTGAGACCACGGTCCAGCCTGCAGGGCGGGGACCGGCCGAGGCAGGCCCTGTCCCCACAAGTCCCAAACCTGGGCCCCGCGGAGGCCTCCGGTGAGCCCTCCAGTTTCTGACACCCCGCCTCCTCTGCCTGTGGCACCCCGGCCGCTCTCCGCCTCAGATCTGGCCCGAACGCCACTGTACCAGAGGGCAGGCGGTGGGCAGACTAGGCACTGGATGGGGCACCAGGGGAGGGAGCCCTTGGGGCACACACAGTCCTCATGCGGGGCTGGGAAACCTCACAACTCTGGCTCCTTGCAGGGCCACTAGGTGGCTGAGACAGGGAGGGGAAGTGGCAGGTACAGGTGACAACAGGGGGCCTGGCCCAGCCCTTCCTGGCCAGTGAGGAGGCCTCAGCAGACAGAGCGAGGTGTCCCTGCCTGAGGGATGGGATGATAAGCGCTTCGGTCCCAGCTGGGAGGGAGGAGCAGGCAACCACCTGCACCCGGGGGCCCCAGGAAGCTGTGCGTGCAGGAGGTCCTCATCCTGCTGCATCCTGTTGGGCCCCTTGGCCCACGTGCAGATGCAGGCAGGGGCCACACTCCCCCATGCCGTACCTGCTGCAGGTGGCCCAGGACGTTGGTCCTGCAGTCGAAAATGCCCTTCCCCTCGGAGGAGTAGAGGTTGTACAGAAACTCCGTGGTGTAGTGATCGTGGCACTTCTCATTTCTGGGGAGAAGGACAGGGGACCGGAGTTATAAGTGGGAGCCCGCCCAGGCCTCCCCGACGACGGACGGGGAGCCTGCTGGGCCAGGCCACAGGCCTCTGGGGAATGGCGACTCTGCCCGCCCCGCCCCTCCCCACGGCCCCCTCCACCTTGTTCTGACCCCACAGCCCAGGGTCTGGAAGCCCCCGCCACGGCCCAGGCAGACCCTCCTCCCGGCCCAGGCCCACCCGCAGCCTCACCGGAGCACCAGGCCCCTCTGGATCTCCGTCTTCATCTTCTCCGTCATGTGCTCCACGTTGGCCTGCAGGAGCCAGGGACCACCCAGTGAGCCAGGGCCGGGAGAGCAGCCAGCACCGCCCCCCACAGCCAGGAGGCAGGTGGTCTGGGAAGGAACATTCCAGACCACCCGACAGGTGGGGTCAATGTGACCCAGGGGTGATGGGGGGTGCATTCAGGCTGCGGGTGGCAGGAGGGCACTGCGAGGTAGGTCACA